TTAGATACTATTAGAGTGGCCAGGTGATGCTGGGCTTAGTAGTTAAGAATATTTATGTAATTACAAATGTAATTTCAAAATCTTAATAAAGCACTAGCATGTCTACTTAAGGGAAAAAAAAAATTATACACTTCAAAGTTAGTTTTGATATAATTAGAATTACAAAGTTACAACTTCAAATACCTTGTTCAAGTTGTTAAAATAAGATCATTTTTCAAAATTTTGTTATTAATAAGATTTAAACTCTGAATCTATTGTTTGAAGAATAACAATTCAATTACTATATTAGAATTATTATTTTTATTATCTATTATTTTTTTTAATATTAAGATATTATTTATTATTGTTTGTTAACCTTATATATAAATTATTATAAAATTTTTTTTATTAAGTTTTTTTCTAAATATTATATTAAAATTTTAAAATTATAATTTTTATACTATAATTAGTAATTACTAAAAACTTTAAAAGAGATAAATTTTAAATTAATAATATATAATATAAAAACAATTTTTTTTTTATAAACATTTTATTTAAATTTCAATAAAATAAAAAATATAATCTTTAATATTTTTTTAAAAAAAAATTTGATTTTAATAATTTTATTATTTATAAATTAAAAAAATCTAGGATAAGATCCTGTAACCTAATAATTTAGATAACTCTTTTTTATAAACAAGATCAACAGTTCAATTTTAACTGAAAACAGATCTCTGTAATCTACAGAAACATATAAATATATGCAAAACTCTGTAATTAAGTTTATGTAAATAGAAAATTAATATATAAAAAAGTTTTTAAAAAGAAGTTTTTTAATATAAAGAATTGATACTTGATGCAAAAGAAACAGTGAATATATCAAAAATAAAGAAAAGATACACTAATAAATAATATGATGAACATAAAAAAAAATTACAGAAAAAGAATAAATTACTAAAATTTGAACATTTTTAACATTAAAATTGTTTTAGTAAATACAGAATATATTAAATTAGATCTAAATAATAATCTTAATATCAACTTAGTAAACTTGTATTAAGGGTAAATTTAAAAAAATATGAATACTTAATAATATTTAATAAGATGATATTTTGATATAAATAGTAACTAAAATGACTCTAACCTAATATGTTACTACAATGATAATGTAAATATTGCATATATATGCAATAAGTATTGAAAATTAGAAAGTTTAAATAAAAGACTCACAGGTAAATTTCAGATATGACATCTAGTAAATAACCTATAAGCAGAATTTATAATTAGATAATGATTAAAATTATATATATAACTAGTTGTATCTTTATTGATAGACTATTGTATACAAAATATATAATCATATATTACTTAATAGAAACATATCAAAAAAAATATAAAAATCATAATCATAAAAACTCTTTCTAATGATCTCTTATACTAACTTTTTCTAAAAGTCTGACCTATAAAAACTATATAGTTATTATATTTAAATATAACAAAACTCTATTTTGAAGTAACTAAAAAGGCTATTCATTACATACTTTGTTGTAACTAAAAAGAACTAAAAAAGACTCAAACCCTTATAAGTGAAGTCTCTTAATAAAACACAAATACTACTAAGTAAAGAAATAGTAGATAAACTCTGGAGCTTTGTCAAATGCTATAAGGACTTAGGCCTAAATAGTTACTTGTTTTAACATAATATTCTATATAGTATAACTCTTACAACTTCTTTTTAAGTTAGGTTTCTTTTCTATTCTTATTATTGGATTTTTTTTCAAAATTTTTATTAAAAAATGAGAAATCTGATATATTCTCTCCAAAGAATCAATACTGTTTACCTTTTCAAATCAGTAATGTTAATTATGAGAAAATCATAATACAAATATTAAACTTATAATAGATGATATACATTAAACTCAAAAGGAAAATAAAAACTTTGACCATTTTCTTTATACAACAAATGGAATATATTATAATACAAAAATAAAACAAATTTGAAGTATTCTTTATTTAGTATTATATAGAATTTTTTAAAACCAAGTATAGGCAAAAATAATGTCTTCATGTTTCTTTTTGTTCTTTTTCTTTGTCCTTTTTTTTTTTTTATCATTTCTTTTTTCTTTTAGTTTATATTTAAGTTTTGTAGTTAGTTTTCCCTTTTTTTTACTCCCTTTTTAGTTTTTTCTTTTTTATATTTTGTTGTTCTTTAAACAAAGATTATAAAATCCTCTTGTTTGATAATTAAAAAAAAAAAACCAAATTAAAGATAAAATCAAAAAGACAATTTTAAGGCTTGTCATGAAAAGAGGAAGACCCTTTCATTATGAACTTTAAGTAGTTAGATAAGCAATTTACTTCTGTTTAAAGTAATGTGACAGATTGCACTTAGGTGCCATTAGGATGACCAGATGATGCTAGACTTAGTTGTTAGATACATCTATGTAATTGCAATAGTAATTTCATGAATCTTAATAAAGTACTAGCATGACTACTTAAGAAAATAAAAAAATAAAAAAATAAAAAAATAAAAAAATAGAAACATACAGACAAGATTGCTGCTTTTAACTAAAAAAAAAAATCAAAATTAGAAAAATCTGCTTTACAACTTAAATATTCAAAAACAATTAACTTAGTAAAAAAAAATTGAAATTAAAATATACTATTAAGTTAATATATAATTTTAAAATATAAAAAAACGTTAAGAAAAAATCAAGTTTAAAAATATTTTTGCAAAAATTTATTTTATAAACGTGTATCTTTCGAAACTTTAAAAAGGTGATTGTGCTCAAATAAATACGTACATGAACAATGATTGGTGCAAATGTTGCCCAATAAAATTTCTAATTGCAGTAATCTACATCTGAAAAATCCTCAGTTTTTAAACCAGAAATACGTACGTATACATACTGTATAAGTTATATATTACTAAGCTTATATAGCCAAACTTACAATTTATTTATGGCCAGTAGTTTGAGGTCATAATATAAAGATATAATATAATAAAGATTTTTAATTGCACGTTTTTTTGTTAAAAACAATTATCCAAATTTTGAAACCAAAAAAATAACTAAAGTTTCTATGGTTTACTACGTAATACGTAAAAAAACCCCGAATATAGGTAATCTTTTCACTTCAGCTCGAAAACACTTTTTTTTGCAACATTTTGATTGTTTTTATTCGGTAACATACGAGTGCATGAAAGTGAAAACCTGTAACCAATCATAGTAAATCATTAAACCTATTTCCAGGTTTTCACTCTCACGCACTCATATAGTATACTCTACCCTTAAAAAATAGTACTGTAGCAAGTAGACAACGCATAAACATAAAACCAGACTAATACATCCAAATTCCGTGTGAAATAAACATTTTTTCTTTTTTGCAGCATTAATTATGATCACCACTATGCAATACATACGTACATACTTGTAAATTACGTAGATATTTAATTGTGTAATTTATTAGTTGGTTAAAAAAGGATTAATTTTTAAAACTCGTGAATTGATATTGATATATAAGTAATAGATCCAAATTTCAAATAGTAATTACTATTACATACGTTTATACTAATACTGGATCGTTATCATTATGTAACATAGACATCATTTTTAATTATATAGCGATAGATAATGATAATTTCTTTACGTTGGGCAGTGTAATAAAAATGGAAAAAATGACTGGATAAGCAATAATTACATATGAATATCTCTAAAATTTTATCACAAGGATTTTCAGGCTTTTCCTCGGCGGAACTCGTATGACATATTCCTACGAATTACTAACTAAATATTGTTCATAATATATATAGATCAATATGATTCACAGAATGAAATGAGCTACTGATTATTACATTAAAAAAATTGTAGACCATAATAATAGTACATCAGGGAATTTCTGAGTAGAACTTCGAATAAGAATTTTCTAGGGTGGAAATCCGAATAAGAAGTTTCATGAACATCTGCACAAAATTATGAAATCAAGGTAAACTTTAACTATATCGATATGCAGATGAAAACAGGGAAATTTTCACGGACTAGTCTTTATAAGGAAGATATTCAGGCTTTCATTTTAAAATGAAATTCAACTAAGCGATTCGTAATTGTATGTAGAGTGACGGTAAAATACTAGTTTGTGAAATTTTTATCGGAATATAATAAATTATTTACTATGAATAGTAAGATCACTATTATAATGAATAGTAAGATCACTATTATAATGAATAGTAAGATCACTATTATCATGAATAGTAAAGATCACTATTATCATGAATAATATTATATTAAGATCACTATTATCATGAATATTATCATGAACAGTAAGATCACTATTGTCTATAGATGTTCAAAGTATGTGCCATCCAGCGAAATATGAAATCATTGATAACCATGGCGAAGCCTACTCACATGAAAGCGTTAAGGATGATGCAGCCATGAGTTAATTAATTATTATTTCTTTGTTTAATTTCTTTAATTTGTCTATTTTGTACGCACATAGGTAGGTACGTACTGTACGTAAATACATAGATCAAAAATATCTATAATCGACAATAGATAACGACTTGGCATTTAATATTAATTTTATTTTAAAAACTATAACTACATTTGTTTATGGTTATGCCATACAATATTAACTTTTTTGGCTTGAATAACCCAGACAAGTTTCCGGAAACATTATCTTGTATGATCTTGATCTTGGTTAAATATTGTGTAATAATTTATTTTATAATGATAAATTTACAGCAAAGACAATTTTATTAAAAAAGAATATATTTTCCATTCATGGCTATGGCTATGGCATGATAAATGCATAAATTATTAAACATTATACTAAACATTATTAAAGATAGAAATGTTTATAAAAAATGTGTTCTTTATTTCAGGGGCCTGATATCTGGTGCTAGTGTACGTGTAAGAATTTGATCACGCGTAAAATGTATTAAGACAAGCAAGCAAAGAACAATTTATTATTGTCATCATTTTACAAAGACATATCTTTGTTACCACCTATTTTAATGATCATCAATTAAGGGCGACGCGTCTAAGTGAACATCTAACAATTGCATTCCAACGTCGACAACAATGAATCGGTTTTCTCCCAGTACCGACATCCCGACTAATTATGGACCATTTACCACCGTGTTTTTGTATTGATGTAAGTAATGCATGATCTTCTTCCCTTGTCCATCGATTTGTATTCGCAGGAAGACCGATAGATCTCAGAGGGGTCGAATGATTACGACATGGAGTATGACGTGGAATGCGACGTGGAGTATGACGTGGAATATGACGCGGAATAGAAGGTTTGGGTTTTTTTTCATCATCTGCGTTCTTTTTTTTTTTAATGTATAATGGACATTTAAAGACGCATTTTTCATTACAAATTATCGCATCTTTGCCTAGACCAATACATACTTTAATCCAGATAGGTGACTCTACAACAGATGATAAATTAGACATTTTAAGCGGCTGCTGTTCGACTTTAACCTATTATAAAAAGATTTACATAAAAAAAAAAGGTCATTTTATTTTATGAAAAGAGCAAACACCATATACCCACATCATCGATAACGATAACATCATGGTCACGGTCAAGGTCAATGATTTCAAATTTCTTTTTTTTATCACACATTTCGAAGAAAAAAATTAAGAAAGGATAAAATAGAAATATTTACCGAAAAAACCAATATTTAAAGAGACAATATTCGTTACTTATCAATGATATCATCTTGGAAAATTTTTTTAATAAATTATGCTACATTTATAGTCTGATATTTGCATCGCTATTCTAGTCAACTATTTAGTCAATTATTATTACTGCAATATTTATCTTTATTATTAATGTTGATAAAAAGGCTAACAATGCTCACTTTATATAAATATATATATCCAAGAAATTTTCTAAAAATACCCATAGGGTATGATACCCGGTATATAACATATTAGGTTGAGATAGATTAGAGTTAAAGGTGTAATTATAAATAAATTAGGTACTGAACAAAGCACCTACATCAGTTTTCTTAATAAAATTTTAAGATATTAATAAATTTCTTACCAGATATATAGTATACGTATTATATTATCCTACGTATACGTAAGTGAATATAGATTAATATTCCAACTGTGTACGTAATATGTACGTAAGTACATATATGGCGATATAATAACCGGTACTTACATAATTAACCCTTTTTATCTTATCGTTACGTACGTTTAAAATATCTTAAGGTTATCAGTTTTGTTTCTGTAAACTATACGTATGATATTTGTTATACGTAAAAATCCATAACAGATAATACAAAACAAAATTGTGGGTAACGTTGTAATGTTGCATACAAAATTAAAAAAAAATATATATATATATAATAAATAATAATAATACGTGTAACTAAAGAGATCTTTTGTAAACTTGGAAAATGTTTAAAATCACTTATTCATCCACATGGCGGTTATTTGGTTATTTAACGCACATCTCACATTTATTATCTTTATTATTACTGGTTCTTATTAATTAATGTCTTAATTTGGTTGTTAATAAAAATAATATGCAATTCTCCTGTGTAATAAAAATATACGTGTAACTTTAAAATAAGCTAATCCAAAAACATTGAATTTCCTTCATGAATAAAAAAAATATTCTTTGGCAGACAAAGTAAAAAGTCAATAACATTCTTTTCTAAATATATATTTTATATATTTTATGTATTATTTTTGATTCAATAAAGTTATCTGTTATATTTCCCCGATTAATTGTTTATTTGTTTATTACGTAAATCACATGATTTTACTTATCGGTTTATAAAATCAGTATAAACACGCAATACTGCAATAAGCATAGAGGATCAAAAAAAAATTTCCGGGTAATTAGTTTTCAACTTTTTCGCTTTTTAAAATTTGCGTTACAACCATTTATCCATAGTAAATAGTCTCTTATCTTTATAACCTATAACCTCTTAAAAAATAATAATAAATCCTTCGCCACAAACAAGAGCCACTCTGACCAGTAAAAACACGATAGAATATTCTTGGGAATATATGTCGTGTTACATTTGTTAAATTATTTTGAAAGTCGTTTATTGTATCTATAATACACTCTTTAAAAGAAGCTTCACTCTTTCCTTATCGTTGTTGGTATCATTTTATTTGTTTGTTTATAGATGTATTTTTATTATTACCTCACTACATAATATTAAAAAAAAAAAATGCCTGCTCCTAACCATGAAAAGGGCTTGGAGAAAAATACGCCTATTGCAAATATCCCCGTTATAGTAATCGAAGGTTCTAAAGATCAGGAGGCGGCCGAAAAAAGCACCCCAGAAACTGAAAGTGGTGACCTTCTAACAACACTAAAGGCTTCTACCATTAACAAATCTGATCTTACTTTAGTAGAATCAGAAGAAATGAGTAACTTATCTATTGAACAAAAAATGTCGCGGAATGATCAATCTACTTTTGTCATTAATCCTAGCCCTTTTGCATACTCTGCTGTTCATCTTTGGAAAGTGATGAGTCAAAGAGATTTTGATTTATTAAAATCTATAGGTGGTCTCATTGGTATTATTGAGGGTTTACGCACTGATCGTACTCATGGTTTAAACACAAAAGAAGAGTCTAAACCTTTATCACAAAAATCCAGAAATGAATTTACAAATGTACCTCATTATGAAAATGATTTAGATAAATATATCAGTAATAATGAAATTAATTTCACGGACTTTTCAAATCTTCCCGACAATACTCCATTCTCTGATAGAATAAAAACTTTTGGTAAAAATATTTTACCAGAAAGTAAATCTAAATCAATTATTGATTTTATGTGGTTGGCTATTCAAGATAAGGTTTTAATCCTTCTGACAATTGCTGCTGTTATCTCATTGGGTCTTGGTCTTTATGAAGATTTCAGTGAAAATGCCTCTATTAAAGTTCGATGGATTGAAGGTATAGCAATTATTATTGCAATTTTAATTGTAGTTTTAGTTGGAAGTTTGAATGATTGGCAAAAAGAAAAACAATTTCGAAGTTTAAACGCAAAGAAGGAAGATCGTGAAGTTAAAGTTATTAGAAATGGTTTACCAGTCCTTATATCCATTCATGATGTTTTAGTTGGTGATATAGTTCAAATAGAACCTGGTGATGTTATCCCTGCTGATGGAATTTTGATTTCTGGTTATAATATTCATTGTGATCAATCTGATGAAACTGGTGAAAGTGACTCTGTAAAAAAGCTTACTTATGACATTTGTGAAAAAAAATTTCACTCTAATTCTAACAGTTCTAAAAAACTTGACCCTTTCATAATAAGCGGAAGCAGAGTATTGGAAGGTGTTGGTACTTATGTTGTTACTGGTGTTGGAGTAAATTCATGCAGAGGAAAAACTTGGATGTGTACGAATTATTTACTATATACTTTGTTATAACGTTATTTGATATTTGACTTTTATAACTAATTTATTTATTTATTTTTTAACAAAGCTTTAAGTACTAATAATGAAGATACACCACTTCAAGTCAAGCTGAATGATCTCGCTGAACAAATCGCAAAATTAGGAGGAGCTGCTGCTTTGCTAATGCTTATTGTTCTCTTGGTTAAATATTTTATTTCTTTCCGTATTAATGGTGTACCATCAGCAGCAAAAGCAATAGATAGTTTAATAAGCATAGTTATCTCAGCAGTTACTGTCGTAGTCGTTGCTGTACCTGAAGGCTTACCGTTGGCTGTAACACTTGGTTTGTCTAATTTTTCATAAATTACTTATAAATTAATTGTAAATTAATTGTTTACTAACATTTGTAAATGTATTTTTTATAGCTCTTGCTTATGCAACAACACGTATGTTAAAGGATAATAACCTTGTACGTGTTCTATCAGCCTGTGAAACAATGGGTAATGCTACTACCATTTGTTCGGATAAAACTGGAACATTAACGCAAAACCAAATGACCGTCGTGGTTGCTACTATTGGATCATCAGATACATTTGCTAGAAATGCTGATTTATTTATGAAGAATCTTCAACAAAATAATATCAAAGAAATGAAAAATATATTATCAATGCAAGATTTAAAAAAATTATCCGATCGTATTTTAAACATCTTATATAAATCTATTTCAATAAATACCACTGCTTTTGAAGGCGAACCAAAAAATGGAAAAATCAATTTCATAGGATCAAAAACGGAAACTGCTTTATTACAACTTCTCTTGGATTTAGGTATAAATTATAAACAATTAAAAGAAGATGCCAAAATTATACAATTTTATCCTTTCAGTTCTGATCGAAAAGCTATGGGTCTTGTAATTCAAGAAGATTCTTATTTTAGATTTTATGTAAAAGGTGCTAGCGAAATTTTACTTCAAAAATCCCGTTTTATAATCGATACTAAAACTGGTGACGAAATTGAATTGACTGATACTGAAAGAGATACTACTCAACAAATTATAAAATATTATGCCAGTAAAAGTTTGAGAACTCTTACAATTGCATATCGTGACTTGGAACAATGGCCTCCTGATGGTATAACTTTAGATCCTGATGGTGAGATAAAATTTGAAGATTTAATGATGAATATTACATTATTATGTATTATTGGTATCGAAGACCCTTTGAGAAAAGGCGTTAGAGAAGCTGTTGCAGATTGTAAAGATGCTGGTGTCAAAGTTCGTATGGTTACTGGTGATAATGTTTTGACTGCAAAATCTATTGCAGAACAATGTGGTATTTATACAGGAGGTATAGTTATGGAAGGTCCTGAATTTCGTAACTTATCAACTGAAAGAATGAAAGAAGTTCTTCCACGACTTCAAGTTCTTGCAAGATCTAGTCCTGAAGATAAAAAAATATTGGTTGGAAAATTAAAAGAAGAATTAAATGATATCGTCGCTGTAACTGGTGATGGTACTAATGATGGTCCTGCACTAAGAACTGCTGATGTCGGGTTTTCTATGGGTATTTCCGGTACAGAGACTGCTAAAGAGGCATCATCTATCATTTTAATGGATGATAATTTTTCGAGTATAGTAAAAGCGATAATGTGGGGTCGTTGCGTAAATGATGCAGTTAAAAAATTTTTGCAATTCCAACTCACAGTTAATGTTACTGCTGTCCTACTTACATTCATATCTGCAGTATCTAGTGGTGAACAGAAATCTGTTCTCACTGCAGTACAATTATTATGGGTGAATCTTATCATGGATACATTCGCTGCCCTCGCTCTTGCTACAGATCCACCAACTCCTGAATTATTGAAGCGTAAACCTGAGAACCGAGATTCACCTTTAATAACTCCTCATATGTGGAAGATGATTATCGGTCAAAGTATCTTTCAACTTGCAATCACATTAATTTTATTATATGCTGCTGATGATATAGTAGGCCATGGATTGGACTCAGACCCATATAATACAAATACGGACACAAATTCAAATAATCCAACTACATTAAATACACTTGTTTTTAATACATTTGTAATGTTACAGATTTTTAATGAGATCAAGTATGTTTTTTTTTATAAAATGGTTTAAACAATTCTTTTATAAATTTTTTTTATTTAACATCTACTCCTTTTATAATAGCTGTCGAAACCTCGATGAAAAGCTAAACATATTCAAAAATATCTTAGCAAACAGGCTTTTCGTTATCATATTCCTCATAACTAGTGTAGGTCAAGTTCTAATAATCCAATTTGGAGGGCATGCATTTCAAACAGTACCATTGAATTTTGTTCAATGGTTAGTTTGTATTGGATTGGGTTTTTTATCAATACCTGTTGGTGTAATCATTCGATTAATTCCTATTGACAAGTTGTTTTCATATAAGCGAGTGACGAAACCTATTTTACGTGATGATGAATCAGCAGTAACCAGCTGGCAAAAACAATTAAAGTTTTTCAAAGCACTTCGAGGTAGTGGACGTTTTAGAACACATTTTGGACCGCAATCTAATAAAAACCAACAAGCTTTTGCGAGTGTTGCGGTGGTACCGAGTTTGATAGTATCTGCAGTTGGTGTACCATCAGCTTCGGTACGAAGTAGGAGTCAAGAGAGAGATGAATCAAAGGTAGTACAGAGATCAATACCAACTTCAATATTAGTACCACAGGGAACTGATGAATCCAATAAGGACAGTACAAGCCAAGATGATGAAATAGAAGTTTCAGAAAAATAATAAAAATATTTGATTGTAGTGATTATAGCTGATTATTAAACTATGGAAAATTTGAATGTTGCTTGATTATTAAAGATGTGAAACTTTTTGAATGTTAATTATCAGATGATAATTCTAACGGGCTAAAAAAGTTAATTGTAAAAAAAAAAAAATGTCATCAAAAAAATAATACATTTACGTATTATCATTATTATTATTATAATTGGTAATATTTCATTTTAAAAATTTATAGATTCATAAAATAAAAAAAAATTAATACTAATTTGCTGTTAAATAAATGGACTTAATTAATACGTAGTCAATACTTTTCTTTTCAGGAATTTACAACACGAGCTAAATTTAAATACATGGTAATATCAATATTAAGTGACTAAGATTATGGTATTGAAACTTATATTATTGGCCATTACGTAATTCAAAAAAAAATTTCAAATACGTATGAGAACACAGTACATAAAGCGTTTTGTCAGAGTTATAAAAATCTTTACGTAACAACTTCATTACAAAAACATAAATATCTCAATACGTATGTATGTATATAGTGATTCTCGATATAACGGAGGTCATGATTCCAGTCCTTTGCTTTGTTATATCAAAAGCTCCATACTAGGGTAAACAATGTTCGTTATACGTATCGGTGGTCTGTTATATCGAGTGACACTGTGTATATAGTAGTTACATAATACCTATATCTATAGGTGTTAAAAGTTTGTAGCTCATGTATATTATGCAATATACACTTGCATATTTTTATGTATCACTTGCATATTTTATGTACCACCTGCATATTTTTATGTATCACTTGCATATTTTATGTATCAGTTGCATTGTTTTTATGCACTCCTTGCATGTTTTGTATATATCTCTTGCATATTTTGATGTACTCTTTGCATATTTTATGCACCCATTGTAAAATTATATATAATTATTATGAATAACTATGCAAATTTATATATATAAGGGGTACAAGGAGTAAAGAGTAAGTTGAGTTTAAAAAAAGTTGCTCAATAAGCTTTTAACAGCTTGTTAATGTTTTTTGAAAGATTGTCAGTTACATGAACGTCATAATATGAATAAAATACGACAGATAAGTTTTTAATTATTAGTACAGCGAAGTGAAATTATGTTCATTTGTATTACAATATTAAATATATAAATAATTAAAATCTTCTTCATTTATATACGTATAGTACAGTTAGACTTTCATGAATGCGGGTACATTTGACTGTATAAATAATTAAAATGTATGTTAGTGTTAGTACTGTGTAATATTATTTATTGATGGTAAATAAACATTCATAAATACAGGAGAATTAGAAAACTATATGGAGATGTCAAAAGTAAAATATGTATACGTATAGATAAAATCTATCATGATAAAATGCCTAATAATATTGTGCGTTTAATATTTGCTATGTTTTCCATACGTACAAATATTGGCCAATTCACATCTTGAGGTAATAAATTTATAATAACAATACTATAGAAGCATGGTTGAAACCAGTGTTATCTCTCGGACAGTACGATAACATCCGAGAATCGTGTAACTGACTTTGAAACAAGTCTTTAGTTTAATATATCTGCATATTTCGTCTCTGGACTTATAGGCAGAAGTTTGTCTGATTGGCTAATTAATTTAATTTATACAGTTTAGAGTACTTTTTAAAAAACGAAAACTATCATGAAAAAAAAAGCTGTATAGAAGGCTTCATTAGAGCTGTAGGACTCCATGGCCAAAAATAAGATCTAATTCTCGTCCGTTTAAAAAAGTTAGCACAGTAATAACTTCTCAAAACCCGATAAAATCAACTTATTACTAAGCTAATTTTTTTAAACGAACTAGAATTAGATCTTATTTTTGACTACGGAGTCCCACAACTCTAATGAAACCTTCTATATAAAAAAAGTATTCTAAACTGTATAAATAATGTAAAATTAAATTGAATTTATTAGCCAATCAGACGAACTTCTGCCTATGATCTCTGGACAGATAAAAAGTAACTGATATCGAGATAGATTAAGGCTTATGTTGTAAACAAGTTGTGACAAGTTATTTTTGAACAATAAGCCCCAGAACCCAACGCTAAGCTGTGAGAATATTCAGAATAAATGAATATTATAGCTATTCTCAAACTCTGAGACAAATTAAAAAATTTGCTCGTTACCCGAGATCTTTTAGGTTCGTTCTAACTTTCCGAAAATCACATCACTGTATCTGGACTAGAGTTGCAATTTTAAGTTTCATCATGAAGCTTCTTATTGGCTGTTATATTTAGTTTCACAGTTTCACCATCATTTTCACCAACTTCACCTGTAACTCTAATTTGGACTGAAGTTTTGAAGATAGCGATTTAGTTTTCGAAATGTTAGGACAAACCGAAAAAATTTCGGTAATTAATTTGTCTTATAATTTATGAGAACGGCTGTAAAAAAAAAAAAACTTTAATAAATCGCATACTGACCATACTGATCAATACATACTAAACTATCAGTTTCATAGACTTACAGTTCTCATAAATTTTGAGACAAATTAAAATTTACTCGTTACCCGAAATCGTCCTACGTATCACTAAATTTAATTTCCTGAAACTTACATGAATGTATGAGTTTCATGTTAATAAAAGTAAAAGTTTTGCCAGCATCATTGCATCACTGAAAAGCACCCAGGTTGGGCTCGGATAATCGCCGGATAATAGTCCGGATGATCACTTAAAAAATTAATTAACGCAAAGATTTTGTCGATTAAAAAAAAATACATATATATTATACATATCGATATATATTATTAACGTGAGACTGTACGTAATTTTTTTTTTTATTAATATTAAGTTTTTTTCAATTAAATAAACCAATATTTCGTATGCTTTACAACATCTATACAATGTTACAGACTTTCGTTTTCGACATTCTAAATTGTTTTTTTTTTTTAAATCACTGATTTGGGGGGTTTTTTTGACGTTTTTTTAACAAACTATGTCAAGTGAATAAGTTTTTAACTTAAATGCCCCGTGTTCCTATTTCTTAAACTATGTGTTTTTGCTTTACTTAATTACTGTAAATGCAATGTCTTACATCTTCAAAAATGATTTTGATCCATTTAACTGGATAAATTTTGGTAAGGTGCATCGCGTTGTTGATTTTTCTTGAAACTCATTAACTCGCTTCAAAGCATCTATCTTATTGTTCGAAGCGTAAATGTCTTGGGAACTACCCCAAGAACACCTCCAAAAATTTTGTGCAATCATATAATATAGCAGATTTGTGTAACTGCATGCATGCATTGTATTTCGTTGAAGACATGATGCTTTTGCTTTTACGCTATGACCAATTTAAGCCTTGTGGTTGAACTAACGATAAGATTGAAATATGGAATCTTGCAAAGCATTAGAATTTTTAAAAAGTATTTTTTTTAAAAAAAAATCAGTATATAATTTTTTTTTTTAAATATTAAGGTGAGTACTTGCAATCTAAGATTTTATTGATAGTATATTTGGCTAATGGTTGCATTACAACTACAGGAGACAACCATGGAAAGAGTGTACAACTAGTCACTTGTACAATTTTAGTTATTGTCTAATTTAAGTAGTTTGCCTGAAGGTTTTACACTAGTTGTCATACCTAGAACCTGTTTGTAAGCTTCTTATTTAACTATTTTAGTTTTTATATTCATCTATTCATTTTTGCTTATCATGATTTTGACTGATGCTAGTGAAAATATATCATGGTCACTAAATCTTTAAAGCAGTTCTTTGGAATCTTTGACCTTGTACTAAACCTTTCAAAATCTTCTGTATTCTATTTTTACAACTGATCTAATATTGCTATGATCAAGACCAACACTGATGGTTAGAGTATATCATTAAACTGTTATGTCCTTATAAAGTTCATCCTAATACTAGTATTTACTTCACAACATATTCTTATTACTTTGGTATTCAATTCAAGTTTCATCAACTGTCATTCCAAATAGTCCAGAAAGGTAGGTTGTAATCATACCTCTGGTTTATATGTTTGCAAATATATATCTTTTTCTTTCAAATCTAGAAATTTTAACAGCTTAGTTAGTTCATCTGGTTCTTTCTCAAAGATTAGCATATTTGTCTAGTTTTACAAGTTCTAGTTTCATTTTATAGATCTAGTCTTTTTAGTAGTATCATCAAAAATTCAGGTTATCTTACTATTTGGGTCTTCCAAGTAGGTTTCTGTCTTCTTTTATTTGGTTCTTATGATTTACATGATCATAAGAACTTATTGTAAGTTTGCATTATCTAGTATCAGTTTGCATTCTTTTATGTAACTAGAATGCAAAATAGGCTAAACTAGACCTGTAAATTAGTGAGCCAGGTTAGGCTTAAGCCTAGTTTCAGGCTTACATTTTTATAAAATGAGCTAGGCTTAGGTTGGGTCTAAAAAATATTAGATTGGTTTCAGTCTTTTATAAATATATCTAATTAGAGAGATGAGAAAATCAAATCTACTGCATAGGTTGCACAGATTGTGCAGCCTATACAGCCTCAGTTCATAAATACTTAATTTATTAGGTTTCATATTTATATATATAAAATATCTACTTTATATATGTAAAGTTAGGTTTCTATTATTTTTAATTAGTGTTCCAAGGTTAGTTTAAATGTTAGTTTTTATTATTTTGCAGTTATTCATATTTTTCTTTTGGGCTAACCTGAACTGATTTCTGATTAGTAATTCAAACCTGAATTATAAAGTTAACCAGAATTATGCCAACTGGCCAGAATTATGAAAATTGCATTGCACAACTTCAAAAAATACCTGCACAGTAAAATACTACACAGATTGCATAGTGTCCTATCTCTAAGTAAATCTCTAAAGGTAAATAATACAGATTACATATATACATATATATATAATTACTAATCTTCTGCTATACTGTACATATAGAGGGTGCTTAAGGCTACAAAGAAATTTTATTTTTTGTTCATAATATATATATATACATATCTGCATAGCTTCACTAGATAATAATATATATATTCAGCAAAAAATCAAAAAACTAGGCAAGTAAGTCTGGTGTCAAATGTAGATTAGAGAAACCTGTTTGCTAAAAAAAGAAAGCAAAAAAAAAAATTACTAATAGGTAAAATAAATAAGAAATGTTTTATTATAATTAAAAAAGAAACAAAGTTAATTTTTTTTTAGTTGTGTAGATATTGCATAATATATACTAAGTTCTGTAACTAAACAAGATATATATATGCTATTTAATTATTTGTAAGTATTTAAAATTATATAAAACTAAAAATTTATATTAATTAAATAATGTTGGCAATTTGAATTATTCTAATTAATATTAATTTTTTTTTTAAATATGCAATGGGTTCAGATAAAAAATAAACTATAGTATGCTAATGCATTAAAGAAACTATAATTCTAAATTAAATTTACTAATGCTTATCTATTAGAAATGCAAAGCATTTATTCCATAATTAGTAAAAGTAAAAGATCTGAAGCAAGCATGATAAATAAAAGCTCTGAAATAACTACTATTAATAAAGATTACCAAACAGCTATCAGTAGTAAAAAATGTAGAACAAATGAATTATAGGTTTTTAAAAAACACCACTTTATTAGACATAATTTTAATAAGTGTAAAAATAATTTTTTTGCAATATTATAATTGTTATCAGTTATTATATTACTAGTTAATAATTATTCTATATAATTTCACTAGAGAATTCTGTTTAATGTATATATTGTAAAAACATTTTGAAGTATAATAATGAGACAAGAACTAGTTCTTAATCTGACATATAAAAAATACAAAATATAAGAAATATTTAAGGTCAACAATTCACAACAAACACTACAATTGTCTGAATTAGGCCTTGTTTTTTACAAATTTTCTCAAGAAAGAAGTTATTAGAATATGATAAAAATGATTATTAGGCATTCATATCCATTTTATATAGTCAAACATAAAGGTTATTTAAAGTTTGTTAAAAACTTGCAATTATAATATAAAATAATAAGTAAAATAATGGCATGTGAAAATTGTATAAAAATTGTTGGTAATCTTAAAGAAAAAGTTTGTATAATAGTACAAGAGGTATCAGAAAATATTAGTCATATGACAGATTTATAGACATTGGTTCAGACTCTTGGGTATATGGTTATAACAAGTCATTTTATTGATAAAAACTAAAAACTTAATAAATTAGTTTTGGGGTTCAAATTGGTTCCTGCACTACATCCATGAATTACTATTAGTGAAATGCTTTTAAATTGTTTTAATAAGTAGAATCTTGCATTAAGAATATTAGCAATTACTATAGACAATATAACTAGCAATGATGCCATGATAACAAATCTAAAATGCACGTTTGAGAAACAAAACATGCTTATTAGTGATGAAAATTTATCACATCAACAGTACTGTGCTTATATATTAAATCTTGTAGTTAATGATGATCTTAAAATGCTTAGAAATGTTATATGCAAAATTTGAAAATGTGTTAAGTAAATTTATGATTTACAATCACAGCAACAGAACTTTGAGAATGCTGTAATTGGATATTGTCCTAAGCTCATGTTTAGCTTACAACCAACTCTTGATATACTTACTCATTAGAATTCTGTATATTTTATACTATCATCTTCTATTTTGTATAAAAATGTTTTTGAGTGTCTTGCATTACAAGACAACAATTTTGGTTTAATTATGCTTTTTAATAATGATTGGGATATGTCTAGAGATATTTGTAATTTTTTAAAACTATTTTATAAAAGTAATTCAGATATTTTTTTTTTTGCTTTTGTTAAGGCTATTAGTTATACTGCCTTTATTGTAAATTCAATTATAATTATATAACTTGTACAAGATTACCTCTATACTACACTAGCAGATAGCATACAAGTTCTCATATATCTAATTAGATGCTGTTTAACCTAATTTTGATCTTTCTGTCTGTACATCTGTTAAGCCATTACACATTTCAGAGTACATCACCTAACTGTAAGGTTTTAGAAAGCCTTCTGCTAACTAACTACCTATATTTAATCTTTGTTAACAAGGCTTACTTTTGTAAAGTTCATTCAGATCTCAGTATCAACTTCACAGTATATTGTAATATTATAAATATTTTTAAATATTATTTTATATTATTGATATTATATTAGTTTTATATTATATTATGATCTATTTTTAAATTATTTTTATTTTATTATTTATATTATATTTTAGTATTATTTTTAGACTTAAATTAT